CCTATGACATTGACCTGCCCCAGATGCCTGATGGGCCCAGTGTGGTTTTAGAGCAGTGGTTCTCAACCTTTTTAATGCCGCGACCCCAACCGATCATAAGTCGAGGACTAAACCGGTCGTAAGTCGAGGACTACCCAACCGGTCGTAAGTCGAGGACTTTCCCTGCCCGGGAGCGCCGCACATGCGTGGTTCCACCCCCCTGCGCCGGTCAAGGCGTAGCTGGCAAGCGGCAGAGACGGAGCAGGCCGACCACCAGCTGGCCCAGCCCAAGGGAGGTAAGGCACCCGCTGGAAAAGGGGAAAAAAATGGCGGACAAAAAAATGGCGGACAGCCTTGCTTGGCGACCCCCGTGAAATGGTCGATCGACCCCAAATGGGGTCCCGACCTACAGGTTGAGAACCACTGTTTTAGAGAGAACCTGAGTATTTTCCTGAAACTCTTGTGTACACTTGGCTGATGCCCTTGTCGCTGCTTGGAATAAGCAGGCAACAAGGGGATTAGCCTGTGGGTTCTCTGTGCATATGGAAATGATACGTAGATGCCATGGTTTCCCAAGCAGCTTCTCAAGATGAAGCAACACAAGAGTCTCCTAGAGTGCTGCTGGAGGAAGACAAGGAGTGAACCTGATTGAGACAGTTGAGCCTGAATTCAGACTTACTTTGTGACAATAAGGGTGGCAAAGTGTTCTTACTTCTCCACCCTTATTGCATCTGTAGGTAGCCATACAGCAGCCTTGTTTCGGTGACCAGGTCCCATCTGAGTAAGGAGGACCTGGCAAGCTCCTGCAGGGTCATAGTGAGGAATATTCTCAACATCTGCCCGACTTTGTCAGGGTTGGGCTCTGGCTGGGCAGATCCTTTGAAATGACTTGAGTCCTGTAATCTGGGATGAGTTTGCCAGTTGATCTCAAGGAAGTGGACAGGTTCCTTGTGGATGTGAGGTCATCTATGACATGAGCTGCAATGAGTCTCAGTGTCCTTATGGGTGCAATTCAAGAAGCTGATTATCATTGTAATTATCATGGCACAGGATGTGCTTATTTGTGGGACTATCTCTCAAGAATATCTGCCTCTCCAATATATTGGATAGGGTAGGCATGCTCTAGTACAGTGATGGCGAACCTTTTAGAGACCGAGTGCCCAAACTGCAACCCAAAACCCACTGATGTATCATCGGGTGCTGGGTGGGTGTGGCCCATTGGGTGGGCGTGGCTGCGGTGGTAACAGCAGACTGGGTGGGACTAAAAAGTTCAATCAATCAATTCCAACTTTGCAAGATCTTTTTTTTTCCAGCGAGAAGTTGAAATTGACTGATTGATTGAACCTTTTTTTTTTGTACACAGCAGCAGAGGCCTAAAGTGAAAAGGTTTTATAAAACCCAGCTGAAGGCCTAGGACTGGGGCTACGGTGCACGTGCCCACAGAGAGGGCTCTGAGTGCCACCTCTGGCACCCGTGCCATAGGTTCGCCACCATTGCTCTAGTATCCTTCTTTGAAATTCTACCACCTAGTGGGATCTTGGAAATTGCCTTTTTCATGGCTGCCCCTACTTATGGTTTACCTTCCCTCACCAGTGATTCAGGACACACACACCCTTTAGCCCAGGGGTAGTCAACCTTGGTTCTTTTATGACTCGTAGTCAATTCCCAGAATTCCTGAGCCAGCTTAGCTGGCTCAGGAATTCTGGGAGTTGAAGTCCACGAGTCATAAAAGAGCCAAGGTTGACTACCACTGCTTTAGCCTTTTGAAAGGCCATCAGAACCTGGCTTTTTACAAAGGTGCTGGGATAGGATAGAAAGAATGGAATGAAGATAATTGAGGCTTGCTGTGGGGCATATTAAAGGAGCAGATTAAGGCCAGGGTTTTTGTTCTTGTTTGTTTTACTGTTTTATTATTGTATGGTTTTGCTTTATAATTACTGGTTTTACTGCTGTTGTGAGCCGCCCAGAGTTGTTTAAAATGAGCAATAGCAATAGCATTTAGATTTATATACCGTTTCATAGAGCTTTTATAGTCTTCTCTAAGCAGTTTACAGAGTCAGCATATTGCCCCCTACATGCTGGGTCCTCATTTTACCCACCTCGGAAGGATGGAAGGCTGAGTCAACCTTGAGATGGTGAGAATCAAACTGCCGAACAGCAGGCAGCCAGCAGCCGGCAGAAGTAGCCTGCAGTACTGCACTCTAACCACTGCGCCATCACGGCTCAAATAAATAAACAAACAAACAAATAAATAAGATAAACAACATCAGTAATGACTCTGTGTACTCTGTGGATAGACTATGTTTAAAAGATGTTAATAAAGGAATTATGGACTTGGAACACATTTTATCTGACAAGAGAAAGTATCAAATGTGGAACTACCAATGACAGGTTAAGATAATGATTTCAAAAAAGATGCTTTACCAGCTATATAAAAGAAACTGGATGAAAGTTTAAAAATTAAAAGGGAAATACAAATGATAAACCAGTAGAATGGCTTGGAAAATATTCCTTATTGGATCTACAAAAGAAGCTAGTTAAAATCTTGATCAAATTTGTGCAATGGGATAAAGAACTGAAATCAAATCCTATGAAAATATTGAATTAAAGATTCAGACTGTTAGAAAGAAAAGAAATATAAAATTGATTTATTTAATCAAAACTAAAACAAGCCTTATTCTTTTTTCTGCAATGTGCTGACAACTGTTTGACTTTTTGCTGATACCAGGATTGGAAACTTGATGTTTTATGGATTTGCTTATAGATAAGGAATGGGATATGGAATGGAGAATGTCTGTTTAACCTTATAGGGGATAAAGAGTTATTAAATTTGTTTATATTTATTGTGATGCAGATTGGAAATCACTTCTTTATATATTTCCCTTTTTTGTTATTATATTCTCATTTTTCTTTTCTCTTTTCTTGCACTTTATATTCTTTCATTCCATTCTCTTCTCTTCCTCTAGGTTTAGTTTGCATTAGTTTTTACTATTGTAATTAAAATTCTTAATATTTAAAAAACTTAAAAAAAAACTAGTGGACTACATATGAACCTTATTGCCCAAATAACTATTGACATTGTAGTCTTGGACCCTACTGAATAAACTTTTGAATTATTTGCTGAACTTTGTTGGCTCTTGCTTAAACTTCAGAGCTATAGGACTGCTATTCTTCACTGGAAGTCTAACCACAAAATAACAACTGCATGTTTAAACTATATCAAAACTGCAAGATATTTATGAATAATCAAAAATCTTTTAATTTAGAACAAAAGTAAACAACTTACACACACAAAGGAAATATTTGTTTAAGATAATTAGGTTTTTTTTTAAAAAAAGGAACTTGCTTTGCACAGATCCTGAAACATACAGAAATATTTTACAGCAAAAAATGTGTCTAGTATTTCAAGTTTATATTTTTACACAAATCTACACTTGAGTCAGATGGGTAATCTATCATGTGAGGGCAAACTCTGAGGCAGTAGAAATAAAATTTAACCCCCTTCAAACTCCCACCTAATTTTTTTGAAACAATCCTCACAGTCCACAAATTACAAAACATCTGTTTCACAAGACTGAACTCCAATATATTGTAATTAACACTCCATACAGTAATGCACATAATACCACTTAAGTGTCAAATGACCTTGTTCTTACACTGGTAAAATTCCCCATACAAAATTGCTGCATTGACATTAGAAAAGAATACTAAAAATGATCAGTCCACATCCAGGATGAGCATACATTTAAAAATCTGTTCCATGCTTTCCCCTGCTTAAAAAACATGGGAGGTAGAGGGTAAACATTCTCACCTGCAAAACAGACATTTTCAGGGGAATTAACAGGATTGCTTCCAAAACTTTATTCACCTTGCTACAGAATTCAAAACTGGTATAAAATACAACCCAATAGTTGCCTCAATCAGTAACCACTGAGGAGTCCGGTGTATTTAGAGGGGTCCAGGATGAGTCCAGTGTACTTAGAGCAAACGTGCTTCCTTATTTAGATAACCCCTGTGCTGCCTTCTATTTCAGACACTGCTAGAGAAGGCACTATGTTTATATGCTTCAGAATTTCAAGAATAAGATTCCAGGGGAAGTGTCTGCCTTACAGCGCTGCTCCCCAAAGATATTGTGTTAAGGTGGTGAAATGACAGACCATTCTAAACATTTGCAAAGCTGTAGGCTCAATATTAGTCATTCTTGGAAAAGGAAAGAAAAGTGCTGGAGGAATGATTTAAAAATAAATAAGGGACAAGGTCATTTTATAGCAAGTTTAAGACAGACATGATGCCATTTAGAGTTAAGTGAATGAGAATGCCTATCCTTTAGTTACCACGAAAGAACAAAGATCAGACTTCGTTCTTTCAGAAAGTTCTAGTTCAGTCACTATCTAATGCCTCTGGAGGTTGCAGATACATATGACCCAAGTTGACAGAACCATCTTACGTATGTTTCTAGAAATAAGAATCCAGACATTTTACAATATTCATAATATAGTAAGAATTTGTAGGAATCCAGATTTTGATTGTCTTCAGCCACAAAATGAAAGGTAAACATTAAAAAGCAGCTAAAAGATGGTGAAAATTTCCTCTCACATTCACATCTTGGGAAAGAACCCTGTCCAATTTGAAGCAGTGTGCACAGGGCAATGCTGCCCTTCATCCTTTCCTAATCAAGTAAGAATTTCTAGGAAAAAGGTTGCACTTCAATGCTAGATTCAGGTTCAGAATCAGCAGGTAGAGGTGCGTTTCCTGTATCGCTGAATAAGGGGCACGAGGCATTCTGGAAGTCCAGTCTGAAGCAAAAAAGGGTGATCCAGGAGTTCTTGTGCTGTTGCTCGCTCTAAAGGATCTCGTGT